GTGTCATGTCAGACAGTGTCATGTTTGTTGTTGTCATGTCAGACAGTGTCATGTTTGTTGTTGTCATGTCAGACAGTGTCATGTTTGTTGTTGTCATGTCAGACAGTGTCATGTGTCATGCCAGACAGTGTCATGTTTGTTGTTGTCATGTTTGTTGTTGTGTCCGACAGTGTCATGTGTCATGTCAGACAGTGTAATGTGTCATGTCAGACAGTGTCCTGTGTCATGTCAGACAGTGTCATGTTTGTTGTTTTCATTTCAGACAGTGTCATGTGTCATGTGTCATGTCAGACAGTGTCATGTGTCATGTGAGACAGTGTCATGTGTCATGTGAGACAGTGTCATGTGTCATGTCAGACAGTGTCATGTTTGTTGTTGTCATGTCAGACAGTGTCATGTTTGTTGTTGTCATGTCAGACAGTGTCATGTGTCATGCCAGACAGTGTCATGTTTGTTGTTGTCATGTTTGTTGTTGTGTCCGACAGTGTCATGTGTCATGTCAGACAGTGTAATGTGTCATGTCAGACAGTGTCCTGTGTCATGTCAGACAGTGTCATGTTTGTTGTTTTCATTTCAGACAGTGTCATGTGTCATGTGTCATGTCAGACAGTGTCATGTGTCATGTGAGACAGTGTCATGTTTGTTGTTGTCATGTCAGACAGTGTCATGTTTGTTGTTGTCATGTCAGACAGTGTCATGTTTGTTGTTGTCATGTCAGACAGTGTCATGTTTGTTGTTGTCATGTCAGACAGTGTCATGTGTCATGTCAGACTGTGTCATGTGTCATGTCAGACAGTGTCATGTGTCATGTCAGACAGTGTCATGTTTCATGTCAGACAGTGTCATGTGTCATGTCAGACAGTGTCATGTGTCATGTCAGACAGTGTCATGTTTCATGTCAGACAGTGTCATGTGTCATGTCAGACAGTGTCATGTGTCATGTTAGACAGTGTCATGTTTGTTGTTGTCATGTCAGACAGTGTCATGTTTGTTGTTGTCATGTCAGACAGTGTCATGTTTGTTGTTGTCATATCAGACAGTGTCATGTTAGACAGTGTCATGTTTGTTGTTGTCAAGTCAGACAGTGTCATGTGTCATGTCAGACAGTGTCATATTTGTTGTTGTCATGTCAGACAGTGTCATGTGTGTTGTTGTCATGTCAGACAGTGTCATGTGTCATGCCAGACAGTGTCATGTGTCATGCCAGACAGTGTCATGTTTGTTGTTGTCATGTCAGACAGTGTCATGTGACATGCCAGACAGTGTCATGTTTGTTGTTCTGTTGTCATGTGCTTGTGTGCTTGCTTCACAGCTCGCATGTGGGTGGTTGGCGGGGGCTCTGCTGTGGATTGCTCTTTCTTTCCTATCAAAGTCTATCGTCCTTATCTCTCCATTTGTTGTGTTTGTTACTCTCTAGTTCCACCTGTAGTCTCCGGCACTAATGTGACCTCTTTGTGTTGTAAACGCTGTAAAAGTGTAACTGTAAACTAAGCGGCTGGCATCATTGTTGTGTCTTCCTACAGGAGTCGGGGGGGACTGAAGACACGGCTGGTGGGAAGCAAGAGTCGGGGGAGGAGGAGGAGAAGGAGGAGGGAAAGGAGAAGGAGGAGGAGTCAGATGACAAAGACAAAAAGGAGGAACTGGATGATAAGGAGAAGAAAGAGGATCAGGAAGAAGAGAAAGAGACAAAAGAGGAAGACAAGAAGGACTCCAAGAAAGAAAAAGAAAGCGAGAGCAGTGAGAAGAAAGGAACGAAAGAGGAGAAGTGGAGCGAGAAAAGCAAAGACGGGAAGGACAAAGGCAAAGAGAAAAAGACAGAAAGACGATACGTGTTCATGAAAAGTAGCTACAAGTTCAAGGCCTTCCGCACAGAGATCAGGAACTTGATGTTCGTCAAGAGTGACTTCCCCGACCCCTGCCAGCTGGCCGTAGCTGCCATGGAGATTGTCGTGGCTCGCAAGTTGTCGTCTGGCGACTCTGTCTCTCAACTCATGCCGGCCCTGGGGGTCTGCGAGTTTGACCTCTTTCAGGTAATGTTTGACCTCTGTCAGGTAATGTTTGACCTCTGTCAGGTAATGTTTGACCTCTTTCTGGTATGTTTGACCTCTGTCAGGTAATGTTTGACCTCTTTCTGGTTATGTTTGACCTCTGTCAGGTAATGTTTGACCTCTTTCAGGTAATGTTTGACCTCTTTCAGGTAATGTTTGACCTCTGTCAGGTAATGTTTGACCTCTTTCTGGTTATGTTTGACCTCTTTCTGGTATGTTTGACCTCTGTCAGGTAATGTTTGACCTCTTTCTGGTATGTTTGACCTCTTTCTGGTATGTTTGACCTCTGTCAGGTAATGTTTGACCTCTTTCTGGCATCTTTGACGTCTGTCAGGTAATGTTTGACCTCTTTCTGGTTACGTTTGACCTCTTTCTGGTAATTTTAGTTGATCTCTTTCATGTAAAGCTCAAACAGTTCCTTTTGTTTCTCTACAACATCTTTCTCTACAACATCTTTCTCTACAACATCTTTCTCTACAACATCTTTCTCTACAACATCTTTCTCTTCAACATCTTTTCTCTACAACATCTTTCTCTACAACATCTTTCTCTACAACATCTTTCTCTACAACATCTTTCTCCTGTCTCCTTGCTTCGCTAGGGAAGGGTTCACCAAACCTTTTTTTTTAAGTAGGCCGGAAAACTGTGAGAGTACATGTCGCATAGCTAGTTTGTTCAATGTGATATATACAGACAGAGGAAGTCAATTTATTGATTGATCAGTACATGAAGTACAATATACACCAAACGATATCGAGGACACACACACACACACACACATAGTACAATATACACCAAATGATATCGAGGACACACACACACACACACACACACACACACACACACACACACACACACAGTACAATATACACCAAAAACGATATCGAGGACACACACACACACACA